TTTTTTTTTTTCCTTATTTTCCATTTTCGGTACCTCTGCCCAATTCTTTATTTGTGATTATCCTGCCTTCAGCCATTGTCAAATCTCGCCAAATGTAGACAAATTATAAGATGCAGCTCGAATTAGAGAGAGATACTGTCCTTAGTGTTTTTTTTTTAAACACACTGGTGATAAAAGCACAAGCTTTTTGACAAAAAACTTCTTTTCTTGATATTTTCAAACGCTTATTTCTTTTGTCTCAATTTCAGCTGACGCCCAAAGTCTATGATTAAAATAGTTTAACACTGATTTTTTTCAGACATAAACGTTCATTATTTCTTTCATTTCAGTGTAAACTACTTTTTTATGTTTTTTTTTCTTTGCTCTTTGGATGGCAAACATCAGTACTGTATATCAAAATTGTCCCTGTTACAACGTTGCCACTGACGAACTTCCATCTAAGATTCGTCATAGTAAATAAAACTGTTATTCTTCTTAAACAGTTAGTTAAAAATATAGAAGCTTTAAAAACTGCTCCTCTTCCTCTCTTCTCCCTCCCCCAAATGTCTCCAAAACCCTTCAATTTCCCTAGCGCTTCCCCGTCTTAGTGGTTTTCCCTTGACCTTTTCACTTGCTGAGAAAAGTTTATTTATTTATTTTTTTTTTGCTTAGCAGGTAGCGACCTAATATTTGACGTAACCAACTTTAACAACGGTTCTCTTCATACTGCTATTGCTAATTATACTCAAAGAAATCTTAACTGTAAAAAAACTTTTTAAAATATTTTCTGAAATATCTAAGTGCACTTTACAGCTACAGCTTCAATTCCCCGAAAAAAAAAAAAAGAAAATAAAAATAAAAATAAAGAAATAAATAAATAGATAAATAAAAAATAAACAATAAAAAACAAGAAAGTAAAAAAAAAAATAAAAATCTTTTCTTATTCACCTAGTTGATTCAGTTTCTTCTTACTATTTTGATTTTTTACCCATTATTTCACCAGAATTATTGGTTTAGCTGACTGTGGAAAGAAAGTAATGCAAAATGTAATCTGTTTCTCCGGCGGAGGTACCAATAGCTGAAATATTTTTTCCAAAAACGATCAAAAAGAATTTGTGAAATAAATCAAACTTCTTTTGCAATATTAGATACCGACAGCCAAATAACATTCCCGTAATTTTCCGAACGTTTGAGCAACTTTAATTCATTAGTCACAAGGCTCCTTGAATCTGACCTTCGTTTTCTGCCCCTTATACAGTACGATGATCTTAGCGCGTTGATTGATTGAAAAAATTTCGAGAGGGCGGGTCAATCGGAATGGGTCAATGGCGGAAAGGTGGTGTTGATGTTACTATTGCACGATGGTACTATAAGATTTTGTTGATTTATATAGATGGGCCAGCAGTAAAGAGTTAAAATCTAACCCCATGGACAGGTATTTGATGAAAATGTGAACTAGTCGATGGAAATCTCTAATTTATCCAGTACTCACTCTATTGTTTACAATGCTGCTTGCAATATTTTTAGAAGTAAATGCAACATAGATCTCTGATTTTGCAACATTGTCCCACCTGTCAGTCAAAATAATACTGTACGTCTGAGTGTCGTAGAAAGTGATTCTCTAATACCCTCCCCTAGTACACAATTTTTTTTGCATTGCTCCTCAGCTGATGGACTTTGATTCTTTTCTTATCAGAACCCAGTTAGAAGCTGCAGTGGTAGCCAAGTTTTAAGTACAACTGAGCAAATGAAGCTGTATTCTTACGACGATTTAGTGGTAAAGTATCATGTTGTTGGCCCTGGACCTTATTTCATTTGTGATGGAGATAATAATAATAGTAATAATATTAATAGTAACATCTTAATTTTTTCTGTCCTTTACACTGCTGGTGAATATGGTTGATATCTCCCTTACAGAACAAAGTTTTTAAAATTCCATTGAATCTTTGCTTTTAGAAAAGCCATTTCTTTAAAAGAAGCTTTGTTATTTAGAGTTGTTGATGTTGATTTTTCATGCACTGCCACAGTGAAGACCGGAATTTTAGTAGTTTCAGTATTTTCCGGAAGCGATTGCTGCCGCCAATTGTTTTTGAAAACAGTGAAAGACTCGAATTGTTCGGTTTGATAAAAATCCTGTAGTTATACAGGTCCAAGAGAAATACTATACAAATAAATAAATAAATAAATTTATTTATATTTATCTTCAAATAAATATAGCGGCAGTTCTTACAAAATTTTTAAAATAGTTTCCGCGTTGAATTATTTTGTACTTTCCATTATATAATGAAATCAACATCGTTTAACATTCAGTGCGTTCGATTTGTCTTCTGATTTTCAATAAAATACCTTATTCTTATTTTAATTATTGCAAAAACGAGCTAAAACACTAATCTTTGAGTCGTTTGGATCCACAATGAGTTCATTCCCGTGAAACACCTCATTGGGGACCTCGCTGCTACGGCGGCGTTGTTCCTTTAGCGACAATTCCAGATGACGGGCCTCTCTAGAGACTCCTCCTCCTCGTACGGAGTCGCCGTTCCAAATCACTCCTTAAACAGCAATAACGATTTTATGTTTCCAAACTGCTTAAAGGGATTCCTGTTTGAAGGAACAAATCGGTTTTGATCTGAAGTCTGTATGAATGGTAACTTGCGGATGGACTACAGCATAATGAATGAGCCTCCCTGTTCATCATCTCAGTTAGTTAGTAAACAATATTTGCAAATTGATGTCTCTTCTAGCTTTAGGTTAATAGTACTGCATTGGACTATAGTGATGTTATTGTTCTATGTGTAACTGATGCTTTTAAAATCTTGAAGTGGAATGCACTTTAATTTTATGTCTTCTTTGCTCAAATATTTGTATTATGTTGCAAAACTCATTTCCTTAGGTCCCCCAATGTTCCTGTAGACCACGCTTCGAGCAGCGCCGAATCAGTTTCACTTCAGCCAGTTCCTCAGAAATCATCCGAGACTTTTTCTGAAAAGGTTTGAAGTGCTGGTCCGTAAAGCTGCCTGGCTAATGAATTTCAGCGAATACGCAGTACTTCAAATATTACTTTTTTATTGAAATAGGATTTTTTTTTTGTTAAATCGATTTAACTGTAGTCGATTAAAAGTTTACTTTCCAAATTATTTTGATTGATACAAGCAAGGTCATTACCTGGCAGTTAAATTTAACTCTTCGCCATATTTGGAAATCCATAAACCTTTTAGTTTTCAGTTTACTAAATATGTCCGTTTTGAAACACATCCAAATGGTGGTGCAACATCCTTGAAGGTTGACTGGAGAGTAATTGAACAGAACTTTGACAGGGAGGAACAACGTTGTTTTTTAGAAGAGTTTGCGACTATTGGGTTATCAGAAAATGCTCATGGGAAAGCCACTTATGTTATGGGTATCATCGAAAATGGTTCTTCGCATCTTCCTGTACGTTTGCATGCATGTATACCTCGTAGAATGTGTAACTGCTTAGGCTAGTTTTACTCTTCATCCTGCTCTTCGTAAAGTACAGTGTTTGCAGGATTTTTTGCAATATTTTGCTACAAAAAGCCCCAACCTACCAGTTAAGGTTGGCTCCTTGACGAACAAACAAGTTGTGGAAACTACGACGCTATCGCAGTACTATCTAAATGTTATGGAGACGTACAGTAGTTCAACTTTCAGGTTTTTTGTCAAAAATGGATTTTTTTGCTTCAAATTAAAAAGAACATTTCTTAAATTTTTTATTTGTCATATAGATCGAATGCATTAGCTGTTATAATGTCAAATATCTTTCAGTTATGGACCTTTGCTGTCAATTAGTTTAGTTGGAAGGCGACAAGAAGAATGTGGTGAATTTTTTGAGGTAGATTACTGTTTCACGACAACTTTTTAATACTGTTCTGTGTAGATGTCTCAGTTTTTCTTTTTTTTTTTCGTTCACATGTTCAAGTAGTTTTCCAGGAGATCTTGCAACGAATCGAATCACTTCCATTAATGGAGTTGCTGTTACCTTGGGGAAAATGGTCTCAGAATTATCATTACCGGCCAGAAGAAAGTGATGATGGTCCAATATTCTGGGTACGTCCTGGTGAACAGGTGAAGCTTCCTTTTATTTTCTAGTTTTAGCTACCTTTGTGAATGATGCGTTTGTATGACACATCTCTCTGATTTTCACTTGTCTCAAACAATATTTGGTGTGTTAAAAATTCACCAAGGACCTGAAATGTTTCTTGCTCCCTTGCAGCTAATTTTTTTGACGACAAAATTAGCGATAAGCTGATGTCTTCTTCTCTTTTTGTAGATGGTTTGTTTTGACGATTATCGTAACCACGGAATTAGAAGCGAAAATGAGCGAAGTGATGCTACGGTTGCCAGCCCTCGAAGGTAAGTTTCAAAAGTCTCAAAGTTTTTTTGTTATTTACTACACGGCTCAGTGTTGCTGAGAATTCTTGACAATGTATTTTGATTAAAAAATTTTTGCTTTTTTTTGGTTTATAACTTAAGGTAGGTTAAAGTAAACATGTTTTTCTTACTCGAATTTTCTACCTTAGTTCTTTATTATTGTACTGAAATGGAACTGAAAATTTTTAGGACTAGAGAACCTAGAGAAGTACTATTTCAAGATCGTACACCGTGTCATGCTGACCATTTGGGAGACGGATCTCCTACAGCTGCTGTTGGAATTGTACAGTCTGTGTGGGGCTTGGGAGAACAGAAGTAATTTTCATTATTAATTCCAGGAGAAAGTTTTTACTTTTTGCTTCTAATTAATGACTGACAAATTAAAAAAAAATGAAGGTTTTAGTGACGTTACTCAGGAGCGTTTTGTCAAAGATGTTATTTGCTTTGATGCTAAAGATTACGAAACCTTAGTCTCTAAGCTACATTTAGATATATACGAACCACCAATGTCGCAGGTAACTCGAGCATTAGTTGTGACAGTTTAATAAATAGTTTTTAAGACAAGATGTTTTCAAATTCTCTTTTACAAATCATTTTTGCTCCCTAATTGAGGTGATCTTTTACTGTTTTTGGGAGTTTGATGATTTTCAGTGTTCTAAATGGGTTGGTGTTGGTAAATTAAACCAACTGCGACGTGAGGGCGTTCGTTATTCCCGCTTCTATGTAAGACTTGTCATTGTTTTCTTAGATTTGATTATCAAATGATCTCTGAGTATTTTTAGGTATTTGTTCTATTAGAACCGTTTTTTATAAATTTTATTTATAAAGCTACGAGCAAAATTTAAATTTTTTTTCTTTGTACTTTTACATCTAGTTTTTTATTTCGCTTTCTTCTAAATTTAGTTACGCGGCAATGATATTTACTTCATACCGCGATGTGTGATTCATCAGTTTCAAACGATCACTGCTTGTGCGTCGGTGGCTTGGCATGTGCGTCTGGATCGTTACTGCAATGAAGGAGGAAAAGGTAGGTTTTCGAGAGGGCTGGTATTTAGTGAACAGCAATCAACTGAGTCCAGTCCAAAAAAACGCCCTCCACTTACCAGTCCAGAAACGGAGACTGGAAAAAGGAAGAGAGGAAGACCACGTAAAGTGGTGCCAGAGTCTTCGCAGTAGAATTTTTTGTTTTAGTCTTTTTCATCGTTCATCTTTGTTTTCTGTTACATAGATGAAAGAGCCATGAATATAATCAGCTGGAGAGCTTCACTTTCTCCGTTTGATAGCTAATCTGTAATTATTGTGACAACCGAGAGGAAGAAACGTATATTCTGTCGTTTCCTGTACAGATGCTCTTTTAACCGTGATAGAAACGTTTCTTTGCTACTGGATAAGACTGGTAATCTCGTTGAATGTTCCTCATAGTGATTTAACTGCTTCCACTTACGTTTATCTGATAAGTACCAAAGATTTCGAATGATCTGTTATTGTTTATTTATTGGTATAATAACGAAACTCTGTGTTTTTGTCCTGTTTGAAAAAGTTCAAAAAGTCAAGAGGAAACTTTTAATAAAGGTGTTTGCCTAAAACATTCTAGTTCACAAAAGCGTTAGGCATTCTTTGTTGACAGTATGATGTTTTTGACAAAATAACGATGCCGGAAAATACCGTTTGCTCGAAAATGATACTGACACTTACGCTACACTTTCTACAACAAAAACTGCATTCTTGGTAATGCTTGTTGATGGTTTGTTGATTTTGGATGATGCAAACAGCAACAGGTCAGTGGTCTCAGTCCAAAGGACATAAAATTCTCGAATCTGTTCTTAGATGTAACTGTTTATTTCTCCTATCAGTTATTATTCAGTAGGGTCTAGGGCTAATATTGATAATACCACTTTAAATGAAAAACTTGACAGCGTAGATGATCCTGTAGAACGTTCTCCAAGCATTTCTTATAGATTTCATATTATATGGCAAATTATTGGTGCTAATAATTTAAACCGGAAGAGTGCTAACAGTCTTAAAAAAAACAATTGGTTTCGTGTCAAACTGTCCCCTGAAAAAGAACTATAGTTCAAAGACCTCTTAACTTACAGTTAATTCATTTTAAGGAGCTATGTATCTTGCAGCCAGTTCTGGACCGAATGTCGAATGACTGATATATACAGTTAGTAACAATTTTTTTTTGAATCATTTAAGCAGCTCATTCAAACCGTATTTTCTTGAAACAGGGGCATTTTTGACTGATGAAATAAGAAATGAATTTTCTTTTATCACTCTATCAGAGAAAATTTCTTTTTCTGTTGCGTAACGTTAAAATTCATTTTATTTTTTTTCAAGTAGGAATGGCGTTGGGGAAACACCGAACACAAGT